GAGGTTTTGCCTCGCATTCTCGGAGCAGTTGGAGCTGCGCTGCTTTCCGCTGGATCGGCAGCTCTGCAGGCGGAGCCTTCGTTCGCGGCTCGAGCTTGTAGCGAAACCATGGAAAACCGTGTAGCTTCCCCAGAAGTAGTGTTCCTCTTTCTTTTTTTGTGCTTTTTGGCGGTTCCCTTTGTTTTCCACTAACCAGGCAAAAGACACTTTTTTGTTTGCTGGGGTCCTAATTCCTGCCAAAAGAGGTTGATTCCCGATGATCAGGAATAGGCAGGGTGTTCCGCGGAATTCATGAAAATATAAGTCAGCGACTTGTACAGTCTCTTCAGCCAAGCTCAAAGAAAGCTTACCGTGACCCTGCCGCTTGCTGGCCTCAATTCTAGCAAAGAGGTCCTCCGGATTTCAATGGCTCTCACGGCTGAATACAGGGAACTCGATACGTCGCATTCCATCCGACATGCTGACGGCAGCTTGCAATGAGTAAGCTTGTTCAATAAATTGTGGTGAGGGAGAAGTGCAAGCGGCCATATGGGGAAGTCAGACGCACAAAAGGCGCCAGGATGCGTCGTAGTTGGCCCCAGGCGGGTTGTCCAGTATGTAAAAGCACTTAGGAATGCAGGACATGACACGATTAGTCTTTACCCACTCACAAAGGAAAGCAAGGCTCTGCATGAGAGTGCATTGTTGTTCTGCATGTTTGATGACATACTTCTCAGGATGGACAAGCAAATCTACTTGCACCTGTTGTGTGTTTTCTGGTCTTTTCCAGGCGTTTTAGTCGTTTAGCGGTAGTTGTTTGGTCTTCTCTCACGTTGTGCATCCCACAGCGCCTTCTAGGTCCAGGTATTCCGAAGGTGTTGCAGTTTCGAACTCAACATATAGCTACACATGTATTTGAAACAAGTGCGACATATCAACCATCTAAGCACACACACATTCTAGGGATATGCTAAAATCGCGCTTTGCCCATGCGTGAGAGCACTATGCCATGCAATGCTATGCAATGTCCATGCTGGAAATATGTTTCACACATGTCAGAAACCAGCTAAAAATGTATTACAGATACTGCTTGAAACACCCTACCATGTTCAAGGAATGATCCTTTACGGACCTGCTAGATGGTACACATGTGCTAGATGTGCTTAAGTGATTCTAGAAAAATGAGTCGAAGTGCGTAACACGTGCTAGACGGAGTAAACATACGCCAGGCACATGCCACGGATTTGCTGCATTGCTGCAGAGAAACCCGAAACGCTCAAATCTTGTTTGGAACTTCTAGAATGGCTAAATCCACGTGCTGGAAACATGCTAGAACATGTTCAAGCAGATATATGTGCGTTGGACATAGCACTCAAAATGCCATGTCCAGGCTACACGTATTCTAGATGTTTGCCAGGCGCACATATTGGACAAATGTTCCATTCAAGGCGCCAGCACTCCCACACCGAAATTCCAGACCCCCATGCCAGTCTAAATAGACCACTTGCATGAGTAGCAAGACTCCAATTCGTCCAATGGCCCCGAGGCCAAAGCGACCCATGTGTCTGAGAACCGGAGCTTTGAAATAGTCAACTTCAGCCACAACAAGCTTATTGTAAAGGAAGTTTTTATCGAGGAAGCCTGACTTTGGGTCTTGAATCATATTCCAGAAGGATTTGACCTTGTTGTGGATGTGTGTCCCATCCTTTGATCTCCGCCCTTGATATCTTCGACAGCTTCAAAACGGTCTGTTAAGCGGGCATGGTACAAAACCACTTTGCCATTGACCTGTGTCCCCTATTTCCGTGGTGTTTTGTTGTTTGCGCATGCGGTTTTTTTCTCGCGAGTTTGGCGCGCAGGATCAAGATCACAGCAGAAAAGACGGTGGAAGAGTTCCAATTTGTGATGAAGACGCATGGTTGACAAGGGATCTATTTCTCTATGCACGTGGCTTCAAGCTTGGAGACATCTTCTGAGCATGTACATTGGATGCTTTGGGAGCTTGGCAAAATGTGCAGACACACGTGTTTGGCTTCATCGTGCGCAAGGAGAGATTAGCAATTGTTTTTGGGGGCATGTACTTTTATCGCAACATGTGCATATACTGCCACGGCCAATGCGCCGTTTGGCTCAAGCTTTTCACTCGGCAACCTCGCTCGCCATCTCGTCGGAAAGAGCCCGCGGCGCCCCTCACGCCGGCCGCACAACGTCGCGGCCGTCGTTGTTGGGGTGGTGGACTTGGTCCCGGAGGTGGGTCGGGTTTTGGTTGGAGTGCGCTGCTATTGCTCGCTTTGCTCGCTTGGTGCTGCTTGCTGCTGGTTTGCTTGCCTGCTTTGCGCTGTGCTGCGCTTCTGCTTGGCTTCTTCTTGTTACAACGAGGCACCCCTTTTGGTTCGTGTTTGTGCCGGCCGAGGGCAACCGCTTTGCCCCCTTCTCTCTCTCTCTCTCTCTCTCTCTCTCCTCTCTCTCTCTCTCTCTCTCTCTCTCTCTTCTCTTGGGACCGGGGGGATAAGGTGGTCTCTTCTTGTTGGTGGGTTAGGGCCTGTTTTATCCATCCCGAAACTCTGTTTCAAACCCTTTCGCAGGTTATCAGCCGTAGGATTCGTCCTCGGTTGGCACCGCGAACCCCTTTTTTTTAACAACCCTGCAGGCGCCGTTTTCCATAGGCTACTGTAGGTCTCATGGCGGAAATCACTGAGGATGGACCTCATGTGGTGACCGATGAGTGGGTTCTCCAGGCCGGTTGTGAATGACGGCCAGGTGCCCGGACAGCCGACTTTTTCCGGTCCTGACTTTTTGTCGGATCACACTTTTTCCGAAGCGATGCCTTCAGAGAGGTCCAGTGCTACTCGCACTGACGATCTATCGTCTAATGCCTCAAGCTAATCGCTCTCAGGGCCGCGGGACTAATCGTCCTGACCATGATGATTCCGTCTCAGGACGTGATGATGACGAGCCCGGTATTGCACCTGGAGCTCAATCCTCATCCTTCCCCGTGCTAATGAATATTGGTCAGTCCGAGGTTCATGACTCTCGAAGCAGCAGTAGACCTGTGCCAACCAGTAGCATAGCTTTCCAAGCGCTCGGTAATCCCGAACCTAGTTGCATTTGATGTTCATATGCCCACCGAAATCGGTAGGCTGGATTGGAGTGCCTCATGGCCCAACGACGGAAATATTTTTGGCATGGATTTCGCCGCATGGATGCCAGGGCCACCCGCTCCGTCATCTTTCCCAAATTCCAAAGCCCAAAACGGGCTGCTGGAAGCGATGAAGCTGCCTTTGTCGATTGAGAATCAATCCTGATGGCCAGCCGTAACGTGAGGCCAACACCGTCGGTAAGCCCGACCATGAGGAACAGCCCTAGGGAGCGAAACATTGTAGATAGATTGGATATTTACATCCCAGTCCTACCCCGAGCAAGCGATCGAGGTCAAATTCGACTGGCTCGCATAGGGCAAGAGGGATGGATCGGGAAACTGCTCACAGGGGAAACCCCAGTACGCGGGACTCAGGACGTGGTCGCTCAGGTGATCCAGCGTCGATCATTGGTAGGGACCCGCTAAACGCGGATACACTAATTAATGTGTTTGATGGGATCGAGGCATTCCAGGAGGAATTTAATAGGTCGAATGGTTCGAATGTTCAGAATGTTCGCCCTACGCCCAATGCGGCTTCCTTTTTCGCCTTTGGACAACATGGACGGAGCTAATGTTCCGAAAGAATCTGAGTCCATGATGGCATCAAGTTCTAGTCACAATCACACCATCAGTAATGCCACTGATGTTGAGTCGATGTCTGAATCTAGAGTGTCCAATGCGACCGATTTGAACGACATTGTCATTGCTGACGCGAGACCTGATGTTCCTATGCGAACTGATAGGCCAGTCGTTCCTAAATTGTCCGTGGCCAAAGGCCTGGGCATGCCACAACCCTCGGCGGTTCGTGATGCTAGGAGGTCTGCGCCGTATCAGAGTCAATCTCCCAATCGGAGTGAGTTCCCACGGCCGTCAACGGCCGTACAGGATGATTTCAGAACTCCTCCGAGGTCTAATCCAATCATGGTTGATCTGTCCACTCCTCGGGACCATGGATCAAGGTATAGCCCCATGGGTGAAGATCAGCCCCATGAGGTTGCTGATCTCGTCACGGCCCTTGAAAGAGGGAGAGTGGACTCTTCCGTAAGTGCAATCATTCATCGCCTGGTTGCTAAGGTCGAAGACCTTGGGCGTAGGAATGATAGAAGTGATCAATGCATCAAGCAACTACCAACTGAGGTTAACTCGTAGAGAGCAAAGTATGACCAATGCGTCCATGTGAACAGTACGTGTACACAGGCTGCAAACGTGTCCATGCAACTCTCACAAGGGGCTAAGGACGTCGTAACCGAGCTTGGCCAACGAGTCAAGATCGTTTCCGATCGTATGGCAAGCTTAGGCGATGCCCTGAATGAGCGAGCCAGCTATGACGATGTCGCTCGCTCAATCATCCAAGTTCAAACTGTTTTTGAGTCTCTTTCTGATCGAGTTGCCGAGCTTGTAGCTCGTGTTGACGCGATCGAGAGGTCCCTAGTAGAGAGTCAATCCAATCATCCTGCGATAGGTGGTGTGAACCTCAAAATCGAGGACTTATCCACCAGGATGTGCCATAGTGACAGGATGATGCAAAATGCCGAACAGTGTTGGGTTGCCAACAGGGAAGGCGTAAAATGGGTTAAGGACCAGCTCTGCGAAACGCAGACCAATTTAGAGGTCAAATCAAGGGACTGCAAGTCCTACACGGACAAGCAGAATACTCATAATACGGCTGTTTCGACTACGCTCAACAGTAAACTCGAACAGATGCTTGACGTGCTAAACAGCACGGCCCAGAGAATTAACACTCTCGAATCAAAGTACTCGAGCCAAGCCTCGAGTAGTGGGTTAAACGATCGCACAGGAAGGCGTGCTACTTCCCGTACTCTGGATAAGCGGCCACCTCCGCCTAGCCCTCCTGACAACGATCCTCCACCACCACCTCCTCCTGACCGGCAAAGCCCGGGAGGAGGGGGGAAGAAGAGTGCTGCCGGTGGAAATCCTGAGTTTCATTGTAAAGGATGCAGAAGTGAGATTTGTGGGTATTGTTTCTCATTCAAGGAGGACCTATGTGAAGAGTGTTCCCGTGACGGACCCCGATGCGGTGTCTGTAGGGAGAGTTCATTCCTGACCAAGGGAATTAACTGTCAATTTTGTAAGACCTACTACTGCACTAGGCATTCAGCTGGACAGGATGACTACAGGAGATTTGGGTTTGTCCAGGGTCCCTGTTGTCTTGCGTGTCTTAGGGACGAAAGCAGGAGAAGAAGGGACCCCGATGCTACTCGTATTAGGAATAGGTCCCCTGGAGGCGCGCCTGAGACGAACCCAACGCGGTCATACTCACCGCCTCTACGACCGCCTGTTGATAGGTCCCGTGATGTTCCTGCTGAGGGTCAGCCCAATGCGGCGGACTCTCAGGGCACTCCAAAGGCTGCGCCAGTTGCAGCCCTAGATAAGCGTGAAACCGGGTATCAAGACCGAAGGATCCTTCAGGTCTTGACCCGCCAATCATGCGTGGGCCTGATCCTCCCGACAGGAATTGCCGGATGTGTAATCGGGACATTCCTGACGCTAGCAAAATTGAGGATTGTAGGATATGCATGAAAAGGGCGTGTGACATTTGCATTCCAAAGGCCACTCGCCTATGTCCTGTGTGTGCAATGTCGATCGGTAGTTCGCAGGTCCCACAGCACCTTTTCGGAACAGGTGGTGGCGGATACAGTGGCCACCAGGATCCGAACTGTACAGCTGCGACCAAGATCTTCCGTCAGAGCCCGACGCGGCTGGACTGAGGGTATGGATAGCCAACATGAAGGAAGCTAGGAAGCTGTTAGCAATGCCTACAGCTATGATGGGCTTTACATCATCAATTGGCTGACTGAAGTTGAGAAGGCAAAGTCCTTTGATGAGTTGAATGGAGAGTGTAGGTATCACGTCCTTGAAGCCAGGTTCAATGCAGCCATTCGAAAGTGCATCAAGACTGTTGCAATTTTGGACAAGATAAATCGTCTCACTGAGGCTGCTCAACGCGCCAACAACCGTATCAAGCGTAGACAGATCCTGTGGCTCTTATACGACCACTTGAGGACTGCAAACATCGGAGAGCAATCATGTAGAATAATTGAGCTCTCGAACCTGAGGTGTAGCGTTTCGACTTTCTACGCAGAGGAGGAACGACTCGAGCGGTTCATCGCGAAATGGGACCATATTCTTGCGGGTCTCGATGAACCGTTGACCGAACAGGTAAAACGGTCGCTATTCAGTGAGAAGGTTAGACACCTCAACTGCTTGGCGCATGATATCAGGGAATGGGATAGGAACATATCCAACCCTGATGTTTGTAGCTATGAGTGGCTTCGCGCTCGTTGTAAGAACGAGATCGACCGCTGGAGGGTTCGAAGGAATCAAGTCAATATGCACAAGGATTTTTACGAGCGAACTCCGTCCAGGGACAGAGCCCAGAAACCTGGTGCACCTGGCCCTCCTGTCAGGAGGCGGTCGCCATTTGGGGATTCTCACAGGCCCAGTCGGCCTCCTACTAACCAAAGAAAGAGGACCGGTAATACCCCGAGTCCGCATCGAAGGGATAGGTACTCTCCGACAAGAGGCGTACGCCTAGCCCCAGGGGCGAAGCTCCAAGGAGGCCTAGGTCTACGTCACCCGGTGCTCCGGCAATCGATGCATGCAGAGACTTCGCGCGTGGGTATTGCTCGCGCGGACAAGAGTGCAAATTCGCACACACTAGGCACTAGGGCTGGAAGTTCCGATGCCAAGCCCTCGGGGTATTGCGCCCAATGGATTTCTTTCGGCAAATGCCTGAGGGATAAGTGTGAC